GATGAATCAGGTAAGCACGTAACGTATCTCTGGAACCTTTTTTTTTTTTTTTTTTTGGAGAGTCTCTGAACAAATGAGACTGAATCCTCCGCTTGAACATGGAAAGATACATTTGCCATATATGTCTTGTTGTGCACGTCGAGAGTAGTGCAGCAAGCCCGTTGGTGAACATTACCGTTGAGGTTCTGACAGGTTGGACGCGCCGGGCTTCACTCGTGCAAAGAAATTCTGATGTTATTCCTTTACGTTTTTTTCTTTTTATTAAAAAAAAATATATCCAGGAAAAACGGCTGTCAGTTACGCCGTTTTCTACTTCAGAAGTAATACTAGATCGCGACCCTCATCATGACTGAATCTGGCCTGCAAGAACCCTACCATACAGACTGCAATTACCGTTGAGGTTCTGACAGGTTGGACGTGCCGGGCGACACTCGTGCAAAGAAATTCTGATTTTTTTCCTTACGTTTTTTTTTTTTTTTTTTTTTAAACATTCCAGGAAAAACGGCTGTCAGTTCTGTCGTTTTCTACTTCAGAAGTAATAAGAAGAGAACGTTTTGAGAAATCGCGACCCTCATCATGACTGAATCTGGCCTGCAAGAACCCTACCATACAGACCGCAATAACCCTACCATACACAGAGTGTTACCCGAACTACAGGTTACGAAAAGCTTTCAGGCGAACGCGCGGCCTCCAAAAAAATTTGGCTGCCCGTTTCTTATTTTACGCGAGCAGGGGGCCGGGTCTACTACCACCCCTCACAGCTTCTTTTTTTTTTTTTGACCCCCATTTTTGGAGGTGCGCCGCATGCAGTGCGCGCGCGTCGTGCGGGATGCGCGGTGCGGCGCACGTGCGCAGTGCAGCACATCGCGATGCGCCGCAAGTATGGATTGAACCTACCCTCGACCTCCTGAATGCCACTTGCGAGCCTTACCAACCAACTTAGGCCGCTGGATGCAAACTGCAGCTGCGGCCTTGTGATGTGGATTACAGCCTTTTCATTAACGTTGAAATTGGACATGGCTATGGGAACTCTTGCATGGGGAGATTTTCACGGAGCATGGTTGTGCCCGCGGAAACCTCTTTGGTGTCAACAGTTCGGTACCGTCACACTTTAAATGTAATGTAAGATTAAGGGCATACTCACACAGGGACCTATAATCCCAAAATCCCAAAAAAAAGGGTAAAAGGCCAGTCACACGGATCTACCAAATTCGCGAATGTATTATTCCAGTGCCCATTTGTCAGCGGCCTGGGAAGCCGCGGGGCAAAGGATTTTGTGGTTACCGCAAATGCCCTTTTTCATTTGTTGCATTTTTCTTCGAAAATTGGCAAAAATTCGTTCACAAAAGTTCTTGCACAATTAGTGGATGTCGCCGTGTGACCAGCCAAGTACCAAATCCCCATTTCTCCAGAGGACCGCTACCTTGTCCCATCTGGAAAGGCACAGCAGTGTGACGTGAACCATGCCCAAAACCTCAAATCGGCCCTTCCCAAATTGCGGATTTGGGGTCGCCGTGTGAGTATGCCCTAAGAAGAAGCCATCCGTTCAAAATTGTTTTCCAGCAATGGAGCTGAATGTGAGTGTCTGAGGGCAATGCCACCCTATAGCATTGTGGAAAACATGCAAAGATTACCCAGTTTTTTTTGTTTCAAAAGTGGACAGCCCCTGACTTTATTCATATCCATGTGCGTAGTACTGTGTACCATTCAGCCACAAAATCTATGTTCTCATTCCAGCAACCCAGTATACCACCAAAGTGAAAGCAGCATCTGGAGAAATCTTTCCAAGTAATTCCTGGAAGGGTTCCCGACCCAGGAAATGTCGCTGAACATGACTGATGTGTTGATATCTGGTCTTGTACGTTTCAGGTGGGTGATGCAGAGCGAGGCTACATTCTGGAGCTCTTGATGACGAAGTTGAAGTACGCCACGGAGGCTGTTGTTCATTCGGAACCGCTAAGCAGCAAAACACCAAAGGCTGGTTGTGAAACTGGTCCAGATTCTGGCTCAGGGTCAGGAGATCATGGAACTGAAGATGGGGTGAACGCAGGAGCCAATCCTGAGCGCAATGGTGGTTGCGATATCTCTGCGAACAATGGCAAGAGGAGCGAGGAAACGTCAATGGCTGACCGCGTTCAGATTGTTGGGATGAGTGCTACGCTGCCAAATGTGGCCATGGTTGCTAATTGGCTGAATGCTGCTCTCTACGATACAAGTTTCCGTCCGGTTGAGCTTAGGGAGTACTTGAAGGTCGGCACAAACATTTATGATAAGGACATGAATGTCGTGCGAACTCTTAGTCCCGTCAGTGATTTTGGGAGGCTGGACCCTGATCATTTATGCCATCTGTGCTATGAGGTGCGTATGGAATCAATGGATGCCTGATGGGATTCTCTCAGTGCTTGTTGTGATGCTTACCCTAAACGCTAAGCAGCCTACTTGAAAAGCCAATCCAAGGCGTAGTATTTGGTGACATGTGATGCTCTGCCCCCAGTCCAACAGTAAACCTTCTTTGTCGATGGTATAACTTGCCATTGTAGTAAGACATTGGACGACTGCAATCCCCTGCTCAAGAACACACATCTTTCCCCTTTATAATCTAAATATTATTATTTTACTAATACATTTATAAGAATGTAAAAAATATTAGTAATGAAAAATATCCGAGTTGGAAGAAGAACGAGAAGAAGAAGAAGAAGAAGAAGAAGAAGAAGAAGAAGAAGAAGAAGAAGAAGAGTAATGAAAAATATCCAAGTTGGAAGAAGAACGAGAAGAAGAAGAAGAAGAAGAAGAAGAAGAAGAAGAAGAAGAAGAAGACGAGGAAGAGGAAGAGGAGGAAGAGGAAGAAGAAGAAGAAGAAGATTACCATGGTTATGCCGGACCCAGACACTGGAGAAGTCCAGACATCCGGCCAGGCCTGTGTCTGGACTGCTCCAGACTGTCCGGATTGAAAAAAGTTAAAAAAACCTGTTTTTTAATTAAAAAACGTTTTTATATTTTCCCCTTAGATTTGGCTACGAATTTCGTGATTGTCCTCAGCCAAAAGTTTTTTGAATTGCAATGCTTCACAACATATCTTTTCTTCAGATTTTTTGATTTTTTTTTTTCAAGTCGGATTTTTTTTTGGGGTGGTGGTGAGGGAATGGATCCTGACACTCTGGACTGGACACCAGCCCCGGACATCCAGACCCAGACCGTCTGCACTGCGGTCTGGACGTCCGGATCGTAACCATGAAGACTACTAACTTCTCAAAAAGGTATGTTCATGTGGATATTAGCCCTCGAAAGGGTCGGCAATGATGACTACTGAGTAAGATGACTGAGGAGAAGAGGTGGAGAGGAGGTGACAAATATATCCCTGAGTAGTACACACTGGTCGTTGTGATTACACTGTTGATGATCGCAGTTTGATTGTCATTGAGATACTGCATGTGCTATCACAGATCAGAAAGTCCCGTACAAGGCAGCAACACATTAAAGAGGATTGGCCGCTGGGCATGGTTCCATCTGACAGGTTGAACCCTGAAAATTTTCAAGCATTTCGGATTCAGCCTGTGCAATTGTTCCCGTGGATGGACGAGTTGCATTTTCGGGTATGCTGGCTTGTGGCATCTGAAAATGAATGTGGAAGCAGGAATGTGTGTCAGGAACAAGCGGGGGGGGAGGGGTTCGCTGGATCGTTGATGAGAAGACACTTGGCTTCCCAGACAGATAACAGGGGTCGAAGCCGACAGCAAAACACTCAGATTGTCTATGGATCTCAGTTTTCGTTTTCTTTTATGTGCATGGGTGAGTGCGTGGAAATGTTTTGAGAAGGTGTTGCCACGTGCAGCCCTGATGTTTGGTTGTTTTAAGCCTTTAAGGTTTTCAATGTCAGGGGGACGGCACAACTTCATAGATACAATGTCAGGCTGAGTCTGAAGGTAAGGTGTGCATGGAAACACAGACACCACACATACACACGGACATACACATATGTTTGTGAAAACAATGTGCACAAACATTTCTAGGTGTAAGAATGCCTATGTGTGCATGAGAGTGGGAGAGACACGCTACATACATGTTTAATTGGGCTCATAGTGACACCTTTTTCACCTTCACCCTTTTGCCTCCTTGGAGAGCAAAATGTCATGGTATACATTGGTGCTTTTTTACATTGAAAATGTCATTATGGCTTTGAGAATCTTCTGATGTTTGCTGCCTTTGGGCATGTCAGGACTAATATGGCACACCTACTGTCAAAACAACGCCTTCGATTGTTTTGTTGTTGATGCGCTCATTGCGCACACAGGCATGCCACCATCGTAATCTGAATATAACGCCCGGTCATTATAGTGCAAGGAACCAATTGATACACATCTAATATTCCCATTGCAGGGAAAGACACAACGTACAGCAAGCATATGAGAGCAAAGTGGAAAGCAGATTACATGCTGAAATCACACCAAAAGAGAATGCAATCATGCCAGAGTCTCGTGATACAAAAAGCCTGACAACTGGCCTCCAGGTATCAAACAACAAGAACTACCGGCGTTCGGGTCCGGCCGAGAACCCGAACGACTGACCGGTTGGTCCCCCTTGGAGACGCGTTCGGCCGACCCCGAATGCCAAAAAAAAAAAAAATAAGGAAAAAAAAAAACAAAAAAAAAAAAAAAAAAAAAAAAAAAAAAAAAAAAAAAAAAAAAAAAAAAAAAAAAAAAAAAAGGAACCCCCCCCAAAAAGAGAGAGGCTTAACGGGGGGCCAAATATTTGCCGTTTTCGCTGACAATTTTGGTGCGAAATTCATCAAAAATTTCGAAAACAAATGATATGGGCCCATAGTGCAAACATAAAAAAAAGAAACAGGCCAAAGAAAACAAACAAACAAAAAAAAGAGCACTATAATTTAGTATAAAACACCAACACAAAACACTAATCCGTAAAAAACTATGTTATGCAGAAAACTAAACGGAACAACTTTCACCTCGGACTCCCGGCTCGGAGTCATCGAAATTCTTTACCAAATTTAGAAAATAAACTAGCTTTCCCGGGGCACCCGGCCGGGTGCCCCGGGCGCCTCGCCCGGGTATGGACTCTGCCCAGGGTACCCCGGGCATGCAAAAAATCC